TGTTTGGTGGTGACATCCTGTGTGGCTCTTGTGAGTGTGGGTCTGGTGTCATTCCTCAGGTTAGGGCCTCGTTTATCAATAAGGGTAGGTTTCCAAATGGCTGGCAGGCGGGGGGGATCGTTCCCGCCTGTTCATGCTGTGTGGGTGTTTTTCTATCTCGATGGCTTCTCTGATTATTCTGTTGTTAAAATGCTCAGCCTTGGCGATAGTTCTGGTCTTTTTAAAATCAATTTTATGTCCTGTGGCTTTAAGGTGTTGGACCAGGGAAGAAGTTGGTTCCTCTTTTCTGATTGCGTTCTTGTGTTCTTCCTGAAGATGACGAATGAGACTTCGTCGAAACGTCGCCAAGACACTTCCAATTTTACGCGGTAGAAAACCCGAATAACCAAAGACCTACAAGCGTATGTGTGTATATATACATATACCAGGGGTGGGTTGCTGCTGGCATTATTGCCGGTTCGGCATGCAAAACTTTTTGCTCGAGTGGCTCTCCGGCTAACGGACCCCCTACGGACCAAACATCTATCTGGGGAGCCGCGCTCTGGTCACCCCACGGAATGGACATTAGGATGTTAGCAAGCATTTGAACAGCTGAAAACGTTTTTTGCCAGCGAACCGGTGCTAAAACACCCGGACACCATCAAACCATTTGTAGTGCAAAGTGGGCGCTAGCGATGTGGCAGTAGGTGCAGTTCTCTTGGAAACCCGCGAGGTGGGGGGGGGGGCTTACAAGCATGTGCATAACACGTCCCGTAAGCTAAACTACACCGAATGCAAATGAGAGAAAGAAGGATTTGCAGTTCGATGGGCTCTTAATGAATTGGAGACACCTGCTGGAGGAGGGGGGGTTACCATTTAAGGTCTGGATGGACCATAAAAATCTAGAAGCCCTCCAAAACCCAAGAAGATTGTTGCCCAAACAAGTTCGGTGGCCGTTGTATTTCAGGTGCTTCAATTTCACGCTGAAATACAAGTGGACGCCTCCTGGAAACCGCAATACGCTAGCAGACGAGATAATTCAAGCCATGATACCGATACCACCACCGCCTCTTCGAGCGCGAGTGGTTCACCAAGCACCAGAGACAACCTGAGGGGGGGGAAAGGAGACTTACCCTGTTCCATCCAAGCCGCGCTTCCGAATGATCCAAGATTCCAGGAAAACCCACAAATACTCACACAATGAGACAACCTAGCGTGAAAGCGGTCCAAGATTTACACACCCACTGCTCTCCGCCTGGATCTCTTCCGGCACTATCATGATGTGAGCTTGGCCGGGCACTTCGGGTTTTTAAAGATTTTATATCTTAACAAACCAGCAGTTCTGGTGGCCTCATATGAAGGAGGATGTGGAGGAATACGTTCCATGCAACACCATGAAAAAGTGGCAAGGCAAAACCTCCCAGACTTACACAACCAGTGGCGACACCTGTCCGACGATGGGAGGAGAGAGCCATGGACTTTGTAGTGGACCCACCAGAGAGCCGAGGCAAGACGGTGATCTGAACAGTCATAGATCTTCGTGGCTTGTTCCGGCCTCCCGTCACCCAGAAAGCTGGTGAAACTCTTCACAACCAATGTATGTCGCCTACAAAGCACACCGCGGAGAATTGTATCCGATCGAGGGGTGCAATTCACCCCTAAATTTTGGCAGCAGTTCCTAATCCTGATAGGATCTTCCCAAGGCCTCAGCTCGGCGTTCCACCCAGCTACAAACAGAGCCACTGAGAAGACCAACGCAACGATACAGCAGTATCTACGCTGTTATATTTTCATTATATTTCATTATATTGTCATTTCTTAATATGTCTTCTGTGTTTTGTCGCCTATTTACAGTTCTGGTTCCCACGCCCCCCATATCTTTCCCAAGGAAGGTTCATGTCCTATTTTTATAGAGCCGAGGTGGCGCAGTGGTTAGAGTGCAGCACTGCAGGCTACTTCAGACTGCTAGTTCGGCTGTTCAAATCTCACCGGCTCAAGGTTGACTCAGCCTTCCATCCTTCCGAGGTGGGTAAAATGAGGACCCGGATTGTTGGGGGCGATATGCTGACTCTGTAAACCGCTTAGAGAGGGCTGAAAGCCCTATGAAGCGGTATATAAGTCTAACTGCTATTGCTATTATATTAAAGTGAGACTGAACAAGCTCCCAGCATTATACCTATAAAAAAGGGATGGATTATTACGCTTATAATGGAAGGGATTATTGCACTTATGAATGGATCTTTTAAGGTACCATATCAAGGGCTTAAGTAAAAATAAAAATTAAAAAAAAACAACATCAGTTCAGCCTCGTGACTCCCCGTCACTCAGGATATTTCCAGTTAGCCGTTTTCAGCTGCCAACAGAGGCCTTCTGCTAAAAAAGACTGAACGGTTTTATGGCAATTATAAAAACATGAGAGTTTATTATTCACAAGTAACAGAATAGATTCTCCAATGTACACGGTTCACAAACCCAAATGAAGCCAATTGGCCTTTACAGGTTTGTAGGTATCTCCCTTAAACGTTTTACAGTTCATTGTGGAGAGGCCCATCTGTGACCGGCTGCCTCTGAAGAATGAAAACCCATCGTTCGTCTTAAAAGCCGTGTATGAAGATATTTAGTGTAGCTGAGAAAATGGGCCTAGGAGGCCACTTCCACAGTGACGGCTTCGGATTTCCCCGTGTCTTGATCTGTGCAGGTTACATGTAATGATCCGTCCCTGGGAAAAGAAAGAGAAACGTTATCCTCACTTCCTAAACATTTAGATTAGGAGTCTCCCAACTTTGGCCACTTCCAAGTCCTGTGGACCTCAACTCCCAGAATTCCCCAGTCAGAAATGCATTAATGGAGCGTTTTATGCTGATCCACACACCATTTCTGCGGCCAAGATCTAAATCGGGGGTGTCCAATTCTTGGCACTTTTGAGACCTATGGATGACAACTCCCAGAATTCCCCAGAAATGCACGGTTGGCTGGGGGATTCTGGGAGTTGAAGCCCACAGGTCTTAAAAAGTGGCCAAGGTTGGACATCCCCCGGTTTAGATGCTAGCGACAGAAACTCTGTGTAGATCAGTATAAAATGTAAGAGGGATTACAGGAAACTTCTGTTCCATATCGTGCATGCGTATATACAAACACATACACACATGATATACAACGTAAGCATCCTTTTTTATCCCTCTGGCACCAATTTCTGGGACCCCAAAGTCCCAGAATTTGTGTGCATGTACTGTATTTTTTGGACTATAAGACTTACCAGAGTATAAGACGCACCAATATTTTGAAGAAGTAAAAGAAAAATTTAAAGGCTTTTGCCCCCCCTCCCAGCCCCCGGGAGCATTCTGCAGGCCTCCCAAACCCTCTGCACACCCCATTGTTTTGTGAAAAGGGGGCATGCAGAGAGTTTGAGAGGCCTGCAGAGTGCTCCTGGGGGCTGGGGCAAAAATGAGCAAAAAATTGGGGTTTTTTTTTTGCAAACATATGGTATATATACAGTATATGAGAGTTCCCAGTCAAAACAGCCACAGAACATGAGCTTCATGACCCCAAAGCACTTCCTGGCTGTTGTATACAACACGGCACCGTCCTTCCCCTCAGTCTCACAATCCCATTTCAGGTGCTGGCCAACCTGTTCGTATTTCCAACTGGTTGCCCAGGGCCCCCGAGATCCGGTTCTCCTCTGGGCAGCCCCCGTGCCTTTCCACAGGGGAGGGAAACGGCCGTTTCAAAGGCGAGAGAGGAAGAGAAGTTTGAACAGGAAAATCAGAATTGCCCCACAAGTGTCCTTTCCAGTGTCTATGATATATATTTAGAATCTGGGTATCTTCCCCCCCAAAAAATATGTGCCGGTATATATGAAAATCATCATATTGTAAAGTCCATAATTACTCATGGTTCTGACCCAAAGAATCAAGATTTTCGTTTTCAGTACCTCTTCATTGTAAGGATGGTTAGTATATGATGTAGACCTTCTTTGATGTCTAAATTCTGGAGCACAATCTATTAAAACAAAATATAATTCAGCTGTTAAGGAAACGTTCTAAGGAGGAGGCTGGCTTCAACCTTCCACTTGGACTACATGACAAAGGACTCCAATTTTTTTCAGAGAGATTTAAGATTCAACAGTAATAGAACTTCAGCATCTCAGGTTGGAAAATTCCACTTTATTTATAACTTGGGAGATTTCAGAAATTAAGAGTTTATCAGAACAATATGGGATACGTAGCAAACCCTTTTTTAAAATCCTCTAAATTCCTTTTAAAAAAACAGGCTATTTTTTTCTCCCAAAAGATATATTTCGGTTGAAATCCGTTTCTCCCCAAAGTGGGGAAAAAACAGCCTTCATTTTAACTCCTGCCTTCCTTTCCCCTGTGAGATTACAAGATTGCAATCCTTTAAAAAAAGATCCCTGCAATTAAATCTAAATTATAATGCTGAAACGTAAATTAATTTGAAGGAGCCAAGCCAGGAATTTCTGTATAGAATCACTTTGAAAAGTGCCTATTTCCTGAGCAGATTTTTGGGGTCATCCTAAATTGTGCCTCTTAAACCACATTCTGGTTCATGGAACTCACATTTCGTGTGTGCATGTGTCTCTCTGTGTGTGTGCATGCGCACTCAGACACACAAGCACGAAGCTTGCCGACTTCTGAAAGACTCAAGTATTGAAATAGAAACAACAACCTTGGTAATATATTCATCTTAATTGTCTCTATTTTACCCATTAACGATAATTGTAGATTTTCCATTTCTCTAACTCAATTTGTCTTTTCAATTTATAATAATTATCCTCTTTAATTGTTGCTCATTACTGTTATACTGTTAACTGAATTCCTAAATATTTTACCTTCTTAACTATCTGAACGTTTAACTTTTGTGTCAACTCTTTCCTGTTTCTCTGTAACGTTTTTTTACCCATAGTTTTCCTTTATATCTTTGTTTGTTTTATTATTTTATTTTATTAGTTTTAAGTCCCGCCACTTCTCCATATTCTTCTATTTGTTCTGCTAGTTTCCTTCTGAGCAGATATAAAATCGCACTGCGAAAATTAACAGGCTTTTTCTTTCTTTACCTGTGCAAATCTGTCGTTTTCTTTCACCGGGCCTTTTTCCAGAGACTCGTACAATTCCAGACAGACGGAGGAAATTTTTCCTGGGGCCTCCAGCGTGTGCTGCCTCCGAGCTGGCAAAGGAGTTCCTGATGGAAACAGCACCAGGAATTTGTCAGTCCCCGACTGGTCCAATGCCTGGGGAGAAAAAATAACAATAAAAAAAAAAGGCTTGCGGAAGTTTTACTCATTTCGGGGGAACCGTCTCCAACAGACGCAGGAGGAGTCTACCAGCTAACCTTGGCCAAATCTTTCTGGATGGAGAAATCATTGAACAGTCAAAAAAAGATTCCAGGTGGCGACGGGGACCGAATTCCGTATTTCTGCATCTATGAGGTTGTCAGGAACTGAACAAGACTCGTTTACTTAACTTCATTTGATTATTAAAAAGGAGGTAAAAATAAGACACGGTCTTATCTTCTTTTGACCCCCAAAATAAGGCCAGGCGCTTATTTTCGGGGAGGTCTTGCTATTTTTGAGGTGCAGGAGGCGGCGAGCGTGGTCACCTCATGGCCGCTGATGTGTATTGCAATATTTTCGAGGGAGGGCTTATTTTAGCGCATGCACTCAAAAGCCAGATTTGGGCTTATTATCCGGGGAGGTCTTATTTTTGGGGAGAAAGGGTGTTTTATGTGTGTGTGTGTATGTTTTCGTATATATATGCCGATTTGTGACACAATTGTTTGAGATGGTGCCCCTGTTTCTTGGGGGAAATTGAATTGATTAACACAATCCACCTTTGTTTTCCTTCTTATCCAAATTGGCACGAAAAGTGAATTACGCCTCCTTCCTCCATCTGTCACAACAGAGGAGATGCCAATCAGGTTCTTTCCTTCAGAGATCACCGCCGTGCAAGCAGCTGAACGCCCCTGAGTCCCGCTGCCCTTTATTGCAACGTTGCTTTCGTTTTTCTGATTCCTCGTCAGAATATTTTGTGTTACGACGGTGTTTTTACCCTAATGGTTCTCGAAGAGTTATTTAATTTGGGTCAGTGAGCGGCGTGGTGGCCCAGAGGTGAAAACGCTCGCCTCACAATCGGGAGGCTGTGAGTTTGATCCTCGGTAGCGGCAGATATTTCTGTCTCTGGGAGCAAAAGGAATAATATCTGCTGTGCACCCAGCATAGGTGTCAGGAAGGTCATCCGGCCAGTAAATGCTCAGCTCCATCCCATCACCCCGATTCTACTCCGAATTAAGGGATTCAAAGGGTCGTTAAAATAATAGTTCTGGTCAGTGAGTTAGGGATGTCACACTCGCAGTTCTCTCTGTGACCCTCTTACCTTGACTAATATGTCCTTGCCGGAACATTCAACGGACAGCATGTCGTCATCCGAAAAAACCTGCTCTCGTCCGAGCAAGATTCCTGCTTCCAAGGCCGCTCCGATGGGGATGACCTCGTCGGGAGGGATGGAGTTCAGCAAGTCAACGTTGGGGAAAAGTTCTCTGATCAGGTGCTGTAGCTTTGGAATGCGGGCCGATCCGCCACACAGAACCACCTAGGAGGGAAGCGGGTTTTAAGGAGAGAAACGTTAAGTGGGAATGAGTTGTTAAGACCAGTGTTTCTCAACCTTGGCAACTTGAAGATGTCTGGACTTCAACTCCCAGAATTCCCCAGCCAGCATTCGCTGGCTGGGGAATTCTNGCTTAAACAGATCTGAGTCTGTGCAGAGAATTGAAACAGAAACTTAAGCAGTCTGCTGCTGTGAGATGTAAACTAGCACTCTGTCTGGGCTTGTCTGCTGAAATGAAACCAACTGCTTGTGATTTCCTGTAACTCTCCTGCCTTGTGTTTACTTGGAAGAACCACCTGTTGGTATTGTCCATTGATTCATCTATTCTTAGGTATATAAAGAAGTTAATGCATCCAGCTGCATCCGTTATCTGTGTCTGCTTCTGGATTTGAATTTATGCAACAAACTGACACGCTTTGCGAACCAAATGCTGGTTTCGCAAAAAATTTTAACATCCGGATAACAGTATTAAATTTGATTTTGTTCACATTTAAATTTCTCTAAAATTAAGTAAGACGACGCGATTCGTTTCCAGTTCAGTATTCCATGTTTTTCTCCCCTTTTTAAGATTTTAATCACTTTGTAAAAGTTGGGCCGTTCTTTCTCCTCCTTAGGCTGAAGCCGTTCTGCAGGCAGCACAGGCCAAATAATCCGCCAATTTATAAACCTCTCGGGGTGCTGAAGAGACCCAAAGCCTTGGAGATTCTGGACACCAGTAAGATGAAAAAGACCGACCTTCCTTCTTCCCCTGGCCATTTTGTTTCTCTTTGCGAACAGCGCATTGTCCTGGTCAATCGGCTTACAAAATAGTATATGATATAATAATATATTAAACACAAGACATGCATAATAGTATTTTTCCAACTTCTAATTTCTACTTCTATTGCCCAACCATTGATAAAATAAGCCCCATATTTGAAAGTATTCTGTATCTTCTTCATCTTCTATCTTTAATGCCAACCTATCCATTTCTCCACAATCTAGTATCTTTTTTTAATTTCGTCTTCTTCCATGGTTGGTACTTCAGAGATGAGAAGCGAAACGCCTTCCAGGTCCCCCCCCCCCCCCGAGTGACGGGTTCAGGCTGAGAAAGCAGCCGCCCCCAAATCATTGAATGCATTTCAGTAGCAGAGGCTGGATTAGGAAGAGCCGAGGTGGCGCAGTGGTTAAATGCAGCACTGCAGGCCACTTCAGCTGACTGCAGTTCTGCAGTTCGGCTGTTCAAATCTCACCGGCTC